TAAATATTGAAATATTTCGGTTGCTTCGGTAGTTTTTATTAAAATTTTTCAGCATAATCAGCAATGACTGACTCATCACTCCCATCACCCCCTGCAGGCATAAACTAAAAGCTGGAATTGCTTATTCAGTACTCGTAACATTTACTGACTCTCTATTATCTGCTGATTATTCAGGATATCCATTGGTTGACGATTCCTCGCTCGTCTTATCATGCATTATAGTCGAGAGCTAGGCAAACAGTCGAATTAGCAGCTTAACAATTTGGAGACTCGTCGCAACTACTTCAGGCCACAGTTATTGCTTCCTCAGAAGTGGCTTTATTGGTTTCAAATGAATCAAATTTATCTCACCTGAATCAAATTTATTGTCCGATTCGCTATTACTTCATTCGATCGTAAGGTATCTTCATGTGCAATAGGATTATTAGCTAAACACGTGCTTGAGGACGTAGGTTCAGAAGGTGGCATCGCTTTTCCCCAGTCGAGTTGATCGAACGTACGTACGTACGTTCACTTTTCATCTCATTTTGTAATCGCGCCTTCTTCTTCTTCCTTTATCTTGCTTTGTCGGTCAATTTCGCGGTAGAATTTTCCTTCCTTTCCCTTATATACGTCAATTTGTAGCAAACAATACATTTTTTCGATAGATGTTTTGCATAAAAGTTGCAAAATTGTGATTTTAGTACGTCATGCAAACGATTGTGGTTGGTAATTTTAAATTTGTTTTGTATATATGAGCATACTATGAGCGGCGGTTTGAAACCGATTTATAAGCAAATATCGCTATAAGATCTAAATTTTGCAACTTTTATGCAAAGAATCTAACGAAAGGTATATCCATTGCCGGGGCAATTTGGAGGCGCCGCAATTTGTGGCGTAGTAGTGTATATTGCGATAATCAGTACTTAATTAATTTTAGAATAATTTACGTTTTCCGGTGTCTATATATACGTACGTATGAAATCACATAATTCCTCAGGCCGGGCTTAGAGGAGCTCACGTCATTTATCATTTGATATGATCTTTGTCAAGTCAGATAAATTATTGATATTCAGAAGGAACGGCAATGTTAGCAAAGAACTTGGTCGAATCCCTCAAGAATCGACCAAATGAACTCCAACCTAGCGATATTGACAATATTGACTATTTTTACAAAATTATAAAATCAATTAACATAGGTGGTAACACTAACAATATTGAATTAAGCACAATGTGCGAAACTAGAAAGACAACCCTACGCTATGAGCACAATTCAAATTTAAATTAATTTGACAATCAACAAGACCGGTTAGTTCCGGCTATCCGTGGCTTCTTTGAACATAACAAGTCTGTCAAGTCTACCAAAACACATTGACGAACTTCGGATCTGCATGAATGATAAAGAAATAGATGTTCTTGCAATTAATGAAACACGAATGGACGATAGTGTGTCAATCGAGACAATAGCCATTCAAGGTTACAATTGGATTTCCAAAAATAGAAATAGATCTGGGGGTGGTATCGGTTTTTTCATTAGAGATTCAATAAATTTTCGACCTCGATATTGAAATTCTTACAATACAAATTAGTAAATTAAACCATGGATAATAAAATAACTGGATAGGAAACTATCTGACGTGACCTAATGTTTTCAATGGGATGATGGCGTGATTGGATGTTGAAACCTAGTTGCAAACCAAATTCTCAAAAACGGCATGTTTAGCAATAATACAGCTAAACATTTTAGTAAAAGAGCAAATGAATATAACTACGCCATTCTACAACGAAATATCTAAGTATTTCCAGTCAATTTTAGCGAATATTTCAAGCACTAAACAGTGAAAAATGCATCCCAAATTTCGTTAAAATTGGGGACGTCAATTTCGTAGCTACAAATGTAAAAAAATACAAAACAAAGACAAAAAACATTTACCTTGAGTACTTTGTCGTGGCTTAGGCGTGTTTTTGAAACAATTAGACCAGTTCATGCTTCAATATTACTCTTTTAAAGCAGAAAGTCTATCGAAACAACAAAAATGCAAAGAACTTTGCAATACGCGTGACGTCACATATTGCAACTAGGTTGTTTTGCTTACGTCAGCTAGAGTCCTATCCATTTATTTTTTTATCCATCAGGCATGATTAAACATACCGTTAAAGCGTTCTTAATTACAACGTAGTATCGACCACCAACGATCCAATTGACACCCTTTATAGATTTGAGAACTGTTTACAACTAATAGACAATGACAATAAAGAAAGTATTATTCTAGGAGATGTAAATTATGACTTCTTATCCGCAAGTCTATCTCCGCAAGCTTCGGAACTCAAATTTATTACAGGACTGTATCAATATGAACAATTGATAAGTGAACCTACAAGAGTTACTAAAGATACTCGGACATTAATTGATCACTTTTATACAACAAATCCTGATAATATACACTTAATGTCTGCACCCGAGGGAAATAGTTAGTTTTGTTTTCCCGAGAATCTCAATGTTTCCCGAGACGAAGTCGAGGGAAACATTGAGATTCGAGGGAAAACAAAACTAACTATTTCCCGAGGGAAAAGACGTTAAGTGTTTTGTTATATAGCGACGAAACAAATATCAACATTGAACAACATTCATACAACAATATTTGTATTTCATGACAAATACTCTATAGCGTAAACGAGTTTAAAATTTAAAAAACCTACTTAAATGGTTTCAGCAGCATATCCTGTTGCCTGTTATGTATTTGTCTTCTCTTTTACATTCTTTATTTTAACACAAAGTCACGAAAACAGTAGTTCAAATAGTATAAATTTGTGCCGCCATTTTGTTTATTTATGTACGTACCCGGTCGGGGCGGGCAACAATTTTTCATTTATTGCCCGGGCGGGAACCCCGGTTCCAGAGCCTTCGACAGTAAATAATAAATTGAAATGTCGCGAAGGCTCTGGTTCAACGGGGCGATTCTTTGATTAAACCGCGCCAATCACAAAACAGAATTAGTCTGTATATACTAAAACAACTAATTCTGTTTTGTGGCGCGGTTTAATCAAAGAATTAATCGCCCCGTTGAACCAGAGCTTTCGTGACATTTCAATTTATAATTTACTGTCGAAGGCTCTGGAATCCATGGTACCGGGCTGGGTACATTGCATTTATCTAAAGCCACGTGACTACAAATCAGCCAATCAGTTCGGTGTTCACACTAGCTATATAACAATATTATTTCAAAGGGAGTGTCAACTGTTTCCATAAGTGATCACTATCTTATTTATGGCATCAGAAAATTTAAGGTCTGCAAAGAAAATGCAAAAGTAATCGAATACCGCGACTACAAACATTTCAACGAACAAATATTCTTGCGCGACCTACAAAAATTACTTATACGATTTTGACCTGGATCAATACGATCCAAATATATCTTGGCAGATTTGGAAGAATAAATTCTTCAGAATCTAAAACAACCATGCCCCAGTAAAAAGACGGAAAGTCGGCACTAAGCGGCTACCTTGGCTAACAACAGACCTAATTCACAATAAACGACATATTAATTTCCTACATAGGAAAGCTAGAACAACCAATACAACTGATGCCCGGTCTGTCTACAGAAAGGCAAAAACCAATACAACAAGAAAAAAAAAATACAAAGTGCTCATATTATCGAGCCAAGTCGAATTTAATACCGGCTTGATAACAGTCGAATTCAATACCTTAATAACAATATACAAATCCATAATTCAACCTTATTTCGATTATTGTGCTCAAATGTCGGATTGCTTAGGAAAAACATTAGCAGCTAAAGTTCAAAAATTACAAAACAGAGTGTTTCGAATAATCACTCGTGAGAATTATACGACACGATCGGTTGATATATTAAACAAGCTAAAAGTTCCGGACCTCGAAAAAAGAAGAATGCAACAACTTTCAATTCTCATGTACAAGGTGAAAAACAAATTGGTCCCCGATTACTTGTATGATAGGTTCACAAATGTGAGTGATGTACACGACCATAACACAAGACAGTCGGGAACCGATTTGACATTGCCTAAACCAAAAACAAACAGTATGAAAAATGCATTCTCCTACAGAGGTGCGGAAGTCTGGAACTGCCTGCCTGCATCGGTAAAAGCTTCAACAACTATTCCTAATTTTAAGTCTAACTTGAAGCATGCAAATTAACATCAAGTAATCCTGCCATTGTTTCCATCTACCTAAAATAATTTTCTTGTAATTATTTCTTATTTCTGCTTGTGTGAGCACGGCCGGTTGGAAGATCACCTTTTTTTCTTTTTTTATCTTGTACATAATTAGTTTTAGTATAGGTGAAATTGTACCGTGTTGAAATATAGCTCATAATAATAGTAATAATAATAACTATCTATAATTTCTGACAATATATATCCTTATTATTCTTTTAGGTGACTCCTGATCACTGGAAAGTTCGAAACCTTGCTCAATTTAATTGCCCACATAACGAGATGCCATGCACCGACCACAGCGAATGTTATGATTGTGTATATCCATTGAAATGTTTGGATCCCCTGAACAATTCACAATTCAGATGTGTAATTGTGAGCAATGATGATCCAATTGAGAATTAACGGAAACCTCTTTCTTTGTTGACTCAACAAGTTTATTAAATTCTTTACTGTCAAAAACTTAGCTGTAGAATTAACAGGATTCAGGTGTGGCATGTATGTACTTTTTGTTAATTAATAAAGGGTAACAGAAATACTCGTCAAATTATTATTATTATTATTATTATTATTATTATATTCAAATAGCCAACCGTAAGTTGCCTTTATGAGAGAGATTTACGATTGTATATGTATGTAAAGAAAAACATTTAATAAAGTTTCCATTATTATTATTTTTATTATTATTATTTTACGACATCGAGCAGAGATTATTACGACATCGAGCAGAGCGTTCAAACGCGTTCTATACATGTCCACAGTTTTATCGCTGGTTTTTTACTTGAATCACATCTATATTTGTTTAAAATTAAACACAAAAGTTTCTAATCATGATTCGTTCAAGTTTTATTGCTATGTTGCTCACTTGCGTCGTGTGTTCATTCTGTGGCCAAGATTTTGTAACGCTTGGGCGACACTCATGGCGGTGTAAACAACGTATTAATCATGATCAAAGCCGCTCTGGAAACACAGAAAGAGAAATGCCTGCTTTGAGTAATCCTAACATACCTATTACACAACGAACTGTAATTAAATGTTGTTGCGGCAAAGTTTGTAAAGGCAATCGGGGTTTGAAAATGCACCAGCGTAGCTGTCAAGTCTTACATGGGCTAAACAACGAGTTATGCGCAGATCTTGAGGAGCAAATTGCAGATAACCCTGAGAATAGTATAACGGACGACCACCCACCCACTACACAGTCAACTTTAGACAGTGAAGAAATTACTCCTGATCTAAACAAAGGCATAAATCGTCCGAAGAAGGACTCTGAATGGGAAACGGCCAACGATTATTTTAAATTTGCAATCCCTTGTAATGGACCAATCATATCGCAAGATTTCAATTCAAGTATAAGGCATTTAAATGATACTATATATAATTACTTTGTTGATAATTTTGGAAATGTTGAGACAGCCCCCGACAAGAAACTCGTAGCAAAGTATAAAGATCATTCTATAAAGGATCTAAAGAAGGCTTTAAGCAATCTAAAGTCCACAAATTCGGAGGTAGCCGAAATAAAATATGTGTCTCGTATTCTACGCAATAAGCTTCGTAACCATGGTGATATTTAGATAGACTCCGACCGAGACAACTCGTTTAATCATGACAAATACATAGAAAGAAATTTTTGGGGTTATGTTAAAAACGTTTTAAATAAGGAAGATACTGTGTTCCCATCCTTCAGCATGACAGAATGTGCGGTTTATTTTACTAAAACCTTAGCTGCAGTTTACCCTGGCAAACTGTTTCATATTCCTAGCTGGATTCCTAGGTTATCTGATCCACAAGTGCAATTTGACCTTGACCCGCCTTCTTACCAACAAGTTACTGCTGTTATTCGTAAAATGAAAGCATCTGGTTCTCCTTGTCCTCTCGATCAAATATCAATTATATGCTTTAAGCGATGTCCTTACGTAAGAACTTATTTAACTGAACTAATACGCGCCATCTGGCTTTCAGGATCTATCCCGAGTGAATGGAAAAAAGCTTGCACTATACTTATTCATAAGAAAGGCAACACGAGTATTCCCTCAAATTTCCGACCGATCACACTCGAATCTATACCGCTTAAAGTATTTACATCATGTCTACGTAACGCAATGTACTCCTTTCTCACCGCCAATAACTTTATAGAACATAACATACAAAAAGGCTTCACCCCAAATCTGTCTGGTACTATAGAACATACTGCGCGAATGGCTAATATAATCAACAAAGCTCGGATAAAACAACGTTCACTTGTCATCACACTACTTGACCTCAAAAACGCTTTTGGAGAACTGGTTTGGTAGAAAATGCGGGTTGCGGGTTGCGGGTAGTTTTTTGCGGGTTGCGGGTAGTTTTTTTGCGGGTAGTTTTTTGCGGGTAGTTTCTTGCGAATAGTTATTATTGCACAGACTGTTAGTTATGGGAATAATGGATTTGTTAATTATTGAGATATATTGCGATATTGAACGATTGCACATTTTGATATCTGCATATTGATATTGTGTGCGCCATAGTATAAAGTACACACGTGGAAATCGGATAAAAGAACGTGCTCTTTTGTTTAAGGCCATAGTTACACGAAACGTGATCGCTTGAACATGTTAAAATGACAAATTTAACAGTTTCAATTCAACAATTTAACGTTACTAACCATAGGCTAACTATAATAGCCTGCAACACATAGCTGATGCCCCCAGCCTGTACATTTACAGGCAATGGCTGAGTGGGCGCTGTTCAAAAATATTTCTGTTTGTTGAGGCAAAACGAACTATAGCTTGGAAGCATTACAATGGACAAGCTATGCACTGAAAACAAATTATACAAGGTGTATCAAAAAACGCAACCTCGGAATTTCCCAAGAAATCGACATTGTTTTAAGGACAAATGATTGTAGGTGCCTGGGAATTACTGCACACGCGAGCAAAATTTATGCATTTATTTAATGACACATAATAAGTTTTTATTGTACAATACAGTACAACAACAGTAATATGATCTATTATATGATTTGCCTAAAATCTTTTATGCTTAAGAACTGCAAAGTCAAAATGGATTTCTTGGGAAATTCCCAGTTTCCGGCGTTTGTTTATATACCCTGTATACAGTCCACAGGGTGTATAAAAAAAATGTACTCCCTTTCAAATTCAAATTAATCGTAATTTATTGTAATTTGACAGCCGCACAATTTCTCGAATTAATGAATGCGAAAACACAAAGTCTTCTGCACATGGGAAAAAAGTTTAAATTAAGATATAAGTCTGCATAAGATATAAAATGGGCCAACTTACTACCGAGCAATGAATATTTAAAAGGTTAACTTAAAAGGTTTAATTTAATTATATTTGAATTTGAAATGTTGCACTTTTTTATACATCCTGCATGTAGACAGTATGGGTTCTCTGTCCTCCAAAGGGAGTTTCAAACAATAAACGCACTGGCGAAAACAAATTTTAATATTTTTCCTGTAAGATAAGTTACGATAAGTTATATGACATATTCAATAGTTGTTTAGCAGATTAAAATGACCAAGGCAGCTGAATGTATGAATATTTGGCAGGCACATAAGAATCATTTGAAATTATACGAATGGAAAACATTTCCACTCAGGAAAATTATCGGTGGATTGGAACGGATAAGAAAATTTTTCTTTGTGTTAAAGTCATTTGTTCCAACACAGAGCTCGCAAGACAAAGAAAAATCTTCTTGTCCGTTCCAATCCCCGATAATTTTCCTGAGTGGAAACTAACCTTTAATTAAGCATGTTTAATTCGTAGCTGTTTATGCATAACCATAGTCATAGACGATCAACGACATTTAATGACGATATGCAGTACTACGAATGTCATGGAGGTTAGCCTAGTACACTATAACAGAAAACGCGCAAAAAATTTGAGTTTGAACTTGATAAAGGCTTTATAAGCGTAATAAGACATGCCCGTTTTGTCAGTAGGTTCTAACGTATTGGTTGTAGTAGGCATAGTTCGGCTCATACTAACTGCGTCATTCGTTCACTCGTTCGTTCAGACTTTGGTCTATTTGTACATGTTTAAATATGTAAACCAATCCGCTTTCGCGATTTCAATGATATTCGTTCGTTCTCGTTGTTCGGCGCAGGTTATAAACTAACAAGCAAATCCATTATCGTGTAACTGGGGCTTCATAATTATAATGTATATTTTGGATTTTGTATTGTGTAGTGGAAATAAGTGGAATGAATGAAAGGTTGTATAAATAAATCTACTTTTGTGAAGGAAACTTATCAATGAATTAGCAAATATAGTTGTGAAAAACTACCCGCAAAAAAAACTACCCCCATAAAAAAACTACCCGCAAAAAAAATACCCGCAAAAAACTACCCGCAAAAAACTACCCGCAAAAAACTACCCGCAAAAAAACTACCCGCAAAAAAACTACCCGCAACCCGCAAAAAACTACCCGCAACCCGCAACCCGCATTTTCTACCAAACCGGAGAGGTTCATCATAACTTAATCCAATCTGTCCTTGGCTATCATCACATCCCTAATCACATGAATAATTTAATAAAAAGCTTATACACCGATTTTAAAACTTCCGTAATTACTTCTGAGTTCCGTACCCATTTTATACCTGTTGGCCGTGGTGTTTTGCAAGGTGACTGTCTTAGTCCTCTACTATTTAATATGTGTTTCAACACATATATTCGACATATCAAAGCTGAAAAGTACCGCCAGTTCTGCTTCTCCCTCCAGCTCCTTAATTCAATCCACTGGTTTCAGTTTGCTGGTTTCAGTCTGCCGGTTATTACTGGTCAGGAGTCGGAAAATCAACATCTCCTTAATCGATTCTCTATCTGGTGCCAATGGTCCAACATGGTTGTTAGAGTTGATAAATGTAGCTTTTGATCAATAAGGATCTCATACCAACGATTAAGACTGGACAATCGTTTGAGTATTTGGGACGACACTTCGACTTTAGCATGACTAATGAAAAACATAAATCTAAGCTGATCTCCCTCATTGATGAACTAATGTCCGAAATAGATCTTAAACCTCTTCACCCAAAAAACAAAATTTTACTTTACAGTCGTTATGTTTTGTCGAAACTATCCTGGCATTTTACTGTTGCTACGATATCTAAAACTTGGGTAGTCGAAAATATCGATTCTCCGGTGAACAAGTACGTCCGAAAATGGCTGGAAGTACCTATATCTGCAACATTAAGTAACATCTTTCTAACCCGTAATAAGTTTGGTCTAAATATCATCCCTGCATCCGTCAAGTTCATTCAGTGTCAAACAGTTCTACGCAATGCCCTAAAAACATCTCCAAACGATTCAAATAACGAACTGTGGAAGTCAACTAATAATCATACTAACATTCAATACGATAGCTACAATTCAACTAAAGAAGTTTTAAAAACTTTCCATTCTCAACAAGAAAATAAACTTAGGGACCGTTTGAAATGTCAAGGTTCCTTTTTCGAAAATGTTTCTAAATTCTCCCTATCACAACTTAACGCAATCTGGTCGGTATCGCAATCAAAGCTACCAAAGAACATTTTCAACTTTACAATTCGGTATATAAATAATACCCTTCCTACCCGAAAGAACCTCAGTAAATGGGGAATTTCATCAAGTCCCGACTGCTCGTTCTGCTTACACCCTGAATCACTTCTACACGTTGTTGCCGGTTGTCAACATTACTTGGAACGATTTACTTGGAGATACGATTGCATACTAAACTTTCTTGCAAAAACTTTTTCAAAGTTTAAACGAATGCAAATTACATGTTGATCTTCCTGGATTTGAAAGCCCCTCGATTATTACGGGAGATGAATGTCGTCCTGATTTACTTGTCTCCACTTCAGACAAACACCTCTACGTTGTTGAACTTACCGTAGGCTTTGAATCAAACCTCACAAACAATGTTAACCGCAAGAAAGCTAAATGTAAGAACCTAATTAGAGAACTGGATCAAAACTTTACATCTGTAAATTTATAAATCTTTCAGTCAGTTCGCTAGGGGTGTTCGACAAAGAATGTCATACATTCGTAAAAATGCTGAATGAGTTCGGACTGGATAATCAACACCAACAATATTGTATCAGAAAAATTATATCTATTGCCATCCGATCAACGTATTACATATTTTGCTGTAGAAATAAAGAATGGAGAAATCCCGAACTAATGAACATTTAAAGTAACTATTTCTATAAATAATTAACAATTTTTGTGTATAAAATTGTAACCATGCATGTATAAGTGATTCAAGTAGTCAATTGTAGGTTACCTCAAGAAGTGAGATTTACAATTGTATATATCTATAAATATTCTATTAATAAAGTTTTCATTATTCATTGATTATTATTATTATTATTATTATTATTATTATTATTATTATTATTATTACGACCTGTACTTCAACTTTATTTCGAACGCTAAGACCTGATATAGTGGTGGATTTTAAGGGTTCTATATATGCGGTTGAATTAACTGTCCCTACGAAACCAATTGTACGAAGGCTAAACGTCGCAAGAAAGAAAGATACAGACATCTAAGATCTGAGCAGATCACGGCGTGTTATGCGTTTGAAGTTATTACACTTG